TAACTCCCTTGAGAATAGAATTTTTGACTTTGTTCTAGTATTCATCAAATTGTGCCTTGGCCTTGTGGGTGAGGCAAGATAGTATGTCAACAGAACACCACGGTCGGAATCCGACATTGGACCGGGTTTATAGTTATTGTACAGAAGAGGCAGGAAGAAGCAAACTTAACACGAGAGTTAAATCGCTTTGAGGTGTGAACTGATACTCTTTGGGAAGCGGAGCGGCCAATTGGAGAGACCAGGTACCACGTGACCGACGTCAAGTGTGTTTTCCTGAGCAACCGTAGCTTGCGCGCCAACTGAGGAGACCACTATCACGTGGATTGGGACTAGGACAAGCAATCCAGGAGCGAATTGATCCTCAAAGGTTACTCCTTGGCAAAACTGGCTCCTGAAGGCTTGGCACTAGTAACGCTTCTTACCTTCGTTCGTCCTGAACCCAGGAATTTGCTCCTGGTACAAATTTGGGCTTTGGATAGATCCTCTCCTCGTGGCCAATCAACACTAGAATCACTCTCCTGAGCCGGCTCCACTCCTTAAGAGCGCCTAATACCGAGATGACATGCTGAGGACAGGTTATGACCAAGGATGACAGCCGCAGGACATGTCCTGTCCTCACGAAGTCCTCCTTGACGTAAGTGTCTCCTCAGTTAAGCTACCATTCCTCAGGAAAAATCTCTCCAATTGGCCTATTCAAGCTCCGCTTCCCAAAGAGTATCAGTTTCACACCCCAAAGCGATTTATTTATTTATTTATTTATTTATTTATTACTTCATACGCTGTCCCAGCCGGTGAGGCTATGCAGGAGTTCTATCTAATGTTCTCCTCCTCCAATGTGATCCATGTGCTGTTCTTCCTTTTCCTGTCAGGGTGGAGAGAACAGCACACTATCATTCTTGACCCTACCTAGCCTTGTCACCCAGTAGACACTTCCTACGGAGTTGGTGGCTCTGTAGAAGGTGTGTCGGGGCAAGGGGTTGAGTTGGAGAGAGATTGCTCCGTGTGTGGCTACTTGACGGAAACCCGCATCTGTCTTGTCTACAGTGACCGAAAATGTACTCAACGCCGTGCTCCACGGTCACTCTCCGCGGTCATTTTCGACATCGCGAAGTCCTCTCCTGATGTCTCGGACGGCCTCTTCTCCAGGGACGGCCGGTGCTGTGGGAGGCACCGCCTGAAACTGTTGCAGAAGACCCGTCCGCAGCATCATATGGGCTGCTCGGACCACCAACTTGTGGCTGCCAAGAACGCCCTTCAAATTCAACACTGGTCTGCTGCCTGCCCACATTTCCTGTCTTTCCTTCTTCCAATTTCGGCATCGCAGCAGGACGTGCTCTACTGTTTGTGGTCCTTGATTGCAGGTACACTGGCTAGAATCCGTCTTGTTGATACTATGGAGATACGAATTCAACCCAATTTTGCCGGTTCTCATCTGGGTGATGATAGAGCTGATGGGTCGGGGCAGCTTTTTGTGCAACTGGAGGGCTTTCTTGTCTGGTTTCCTGCCTAGGTCGCGCAGGACACGACCATGTTTGGCATGGGTCCAGGCGAATTCCCAATCTTTATGGAGAGCGGTGTTAATAGTTCTTTTCGCTGTGGTGAGGAGAGTTCTGATGGTGTTGGTCTCGTTGGGGTTCCGACGTGGATCCTGGTTGGCGGTATCGGTTGTGGTCGGTGGTTGGGCTGCCTCTTTTGCCGCTTTGTCGACGATCTCATTGCCCGGGATGCCCTCGTGGGCCGGGATCCATCGAAAGTGTATGTCCAGTCCAGCGGTGGTAGCCACGTCTAAGGCCTGCAGAAGCTCTACCAAGATGAATTGCCCTGAGGTATTGCCCGGATTTTGTAGGGTTTTGAGGGCACTTTGATTATCGGTGAAGATGGTGAAGTGATGGTGGTCAGGGCTGCAGTTGGCTATCAGGATCTCTAAGGCTAGGAGAATGCCCTTCAGTTCGGCTGCGTACACCGTACTTTGGGCGTTCGTACCCATGTACTGTGTTCTCTTGTGGAGTACCAGACTCGACATTGATCGTGGGTTTGAGAGGATCACTGCCGCGGCGCCCACGTGCCCATTGATGCCGCTGCCGTCTGTGTATACACACGTGGTGTCCGTGTCTACGCCGAGAGTCTTGTGTTTCTCGATCGCTTCCTCTGGCGTGCTCGCTATGGTCACCACTGGCGGCTTCCACCAGGGTGTGACGATGTACGGTTGGCGATGTTCCAAGTTGGCAAGGTGGATTTGGTAACGTTTTTGCAAAGCCCTGGCATAGCGTGACATTGGGTTTTTCTTTGAGTATCTTCTCCCTCGGCTTACGTCGACGCTTACTGAACGGGAAGGACAGGACAAAATCTCAAGGCAGAGTGCAAACTCAACTTCTCCATCTGCTGATCCAGGGGTAACAGATGTGCTTCAACTTCCACGGCGCTTGCGGCAGTCGTTCGAAATGCTCCCGTGATGATTTGGGCCGCTCGTCGCTGGATTGATGTGAGTAGGCGTGCTGTTCGAGACTGGCCCTTGTAAGAGCATCCTGGCTGTCGGTATTCCCGAGCCTTGTACCATGCTGAGCAGCCGTACAGCATCTGAGGCAAGAGCATCGCTTGGTACACTTGTCGGAGAGTCATCAGATCGGCTCCCCAGGTGGAAGATGCTAGGGAGGAGAGTGCGATTAGCCGTTGGGACGCTTTCTGCTGGATCCGTTGAACATGATCCTTCCATGTCAACCTATTGTCGATTTGGAGGCCTAGGTATCTGCATGAGGTTACCGGCGTGATCGTGATTTCCGGAAGACGCAGAGGGTGTTTGGTGTTGACGTATGAGTTTCTGGCGAAATGAATGAGAGTGTATTTAGACGTCGCGAATACCGATCCATGTTTTCGAGCCCATTTTTGCGCTTCTCGATGTGCTACTTTGAGTGCCTGAGCGTTGTGTTGCGGGGTGGGCCCGGTGGCTAGGAGTGATACGTCGTCGATGTAGCCGATCGTGTTCACTCTCTCATTGGCACAGACTTCCAACAGGTCGGCGTTGTAAAAGAGGTATAGGATCGGTGACAGTGGAGATCCCTGTGGTATACCAGCGAAGACACTTGTCGCCTTCCCAGTGAATTCCGGCAGAACGAGCGTAGTTGTGCGGTCGTTCAGGAAGGATGCGATCCAACTGACCGTGGTAGGATCGATCCTTCTTTTGCGTAGATTATGTAGTAACCGAGGGTGAGACACGTTGTCGAAGGCTCCCGATACGTCCAAAAGCAGCAGACTGGCAACTTCTTTTCGATCCCATGCTTGATGAATTTGGGTCAGAAGAGAATGGATAGCGTGCTCAGTCGATGCCATCTTCCGTCCACCGAGATGATTGGGAGGCAAGAGATTAAACTTCTCCGCCAGGTACATCAGTCGGGTGCCAATGACTGCTTCCAGAGCTTTGCCAACGGTATTCAGCAGTGCGATAGGCCGGTAAGCCTTCGGTTGGGAATAGTCATCTTTTCCTGGTTTCCTCAGCACCACCGTGATTGACTGACGGAAATGCTGGGGGAAGTATCCCATGTTCCAGCTTGCATTGAATAATCGGAGAAGCGTTGGAAGGATCAAGTCGAGCACCTTCTGCAGTATATTGTTGGTGATACCATCAGTCCCGGGTGCCTTGTTTGGTGCCGCTCTGCGGATGGCTCTTTCAATTTCGGACTCTGTGATCGGGGTTAAGGGGCATGGTTCAGGATACTCATACCCTTGTGTGTCCCTTAGGTCGGCTCGAACTGGCGGCGGGAAGAAGGATGCACACAAGAGATTTGCTTTGCCTTCGGCATCCGTCTCCAAGGACTCGTCGTCCCTTCTGAGCGCTGGAGTAACCGACGCGGGCGGGAGTGATTGTCGTTTGACGGCCCACTTGGCAATCTTCCATATGCCTTGGGGTGTTGATGCTGCTTCCGTGATCTTCGATCGGTGGGTTTGTTGCAAGGTCTTCTTAATTAGTCTCCCTTTCGCATTGCGGGCTGTTTTGTAAGCATGCCAGTCGTCCTCTGTCCTCGTCAGCTGCCATTGCCTTCTCAGCCGTTGTGTCTCGGCGCACGCATGTTTGCATTCCTTGTCGAAGCCAGGTAATGATCGTGGGGATGGGCTGTTCCAGGGTGTAGATCCATCAACGGCTTTTGCTAGGGTGTCGATGAGATGCGTTGTCTGATCATCAAGAGCTCGTGGAGAATCCCAGCGCGTCAGTTCCGCCCGATGTATCTCTGTCTGGACGATGGATCTTAGCTTGCCAACATCCACCGCCGCCCACCGCCGCGTTCGTCGGATCGTGGCTTCTTTCCAATCCCAGTTGAACCAGGTGCTAACCGGAAGGTGGTCAGAATCACAGTCCAGCTCGTGTGCAACCTTGCATTGAAGTAGCTGTTCTCTCATCGTGTGTGTCGCAAAGGTAAGGTCGATCGTCGTATCGCCGCTGAACCACCGATGGGTCTTCAAACCAACAGGGGTGAGCTGCCACAGATGGGACGCCTCTGTAATGTCCAGAAACACGCGAGTCTCGCGGGACGTTCGTTGCGTACGGACGTCCGACCATTGCGGGTGATGTAGATTAAAGTCGCCGAGGAGGAGTAAGTGATTCTCAGGCTGTTCGGTGTTCAATTCCGCCGCCAATGCTCGTAGGGTCCGGGTTTTGTCGTCGTCCTCCGGGTCATTGTACACGTTGTACAGGGAAAGGAGGCCTTGACCTGTCGAGAGAGAGAGAACGCAGATATCCTCGTTCACATATCGGACGCTCCAGGTGGCTGGATCAATCCTTTTGTTGATAAAGATGCATGACCTGGTTCCTTCGCTGTCCATGTATAGAAGGTGGAATCGGTCTTTGGCTGGGTGGTGAGTAGTATGCTGAATCGGGTTCCGGTATGGTTCTTGAACTGCTAAGATATCGTAGTCAAGGATTTCGTGACGACGAAATACTTCTGCCATGATCTCCCTTGATTTTCGGGTGTTGTACTGTAATATCTTCAGGGTACGCTCGCGGTGCGTCATATAGCAGTGTGTGGAGCGGTGCCTTGAGTTTGCCGAGTCTGTGTCGTTGGTAATGCAATCCAGCCAGGCGCGACGCGCTTGTCACCTAGTTTCCCTTTCCTAACTGTGAGGTTTCGTCTCCCGTGTCTTCCTCTGATGTGTTTACGCAGTTCTGGTGTTGACTCTTGTCGGTAACTGCAGTATGGGCACTCCCTCATGCACGTGCCAATGATTAACTCTGCGTCTCGAACAGGCCAGTTCTCGTAGATATGTTCATGCTCCTCGCAATAGCATCCCCTTCGCGGTGGGGGGAGGTCGTCAAATGTCACTACTGCTCTCTCCAGGCGCGCTAACTCTCTCGGTGAGAGTGTCCTAGCATGATATTGGCTGTTTGGGATCGTTGATATGCCCGGCGTTGGATCTACAGCAATTGTATCTTCCCAGTTGAAATCGAGGTTCTGAAGCCAGTCATCAGCCCCAGGGAAATCCTCTGCTAACGGCACTGGTGGGTAGTGAGTTGGAGCAGTAGGTTCCTGGGAAACAGGCGGCTCTTCCAACACTGTCGCGGGGGCAGCGGGTACATGGCTTGCCGTTTGTTGTGATGGCACCGTTGTTTCGGAGTGAGAGATGCGTAAGTGTGCGGTGGGGAGCGTTGCATTACTCTGTTGTTGACGTCTCGAGCTCCGGAGAACCCGTGGCTCCCGGATTGCTTGATTGCTAAGACCATCTGGGTGACTCCGCCTCGCTGGTTCGTCTGGGTTGTCCGAGGTCGATGTTGGTAGTGGGGGTCCGGGTTCGTTGTGCGAACTTGTCGCTGGTGCTGTCCTTCTAGATGGCGCTGGCCAGTAATGACTTCGTGCTTGCTTTGCCCTTTCCACCCTTTGCATTTCCTTCTGTCTTGCTAAGCAGGCAGCATTCCATGCTGTATGGTCTCCTCCGCAGAGTGCGCATTTGGGCTGGAATCCAGGGCCGCCCTTGACAGGACAGCCTCGCGATTCATGTCCACCTGCGCAGTGACCGCATTTTTGGGGAGCATTACATTGAGTACCGATGTGACCGTAGTCGTAGCATCTGAGGCATTGCTTGATTCTGCAGGAGCGGTCGTAGAGTTGACAGTTATGGATTAAGCCTTCCCATAAGAAGCCCGCGTATATGATCGCATTGGCCATTTCGGGCTGTGTGAATTCGATCACGATGGACGAGTTCCGTTTCTTGGTTGATCCCTTCGTGAGCCAGCCGACGTATGTGATCTTCGCGTGCGGGATGACGGAGAAGTTGTCCGCCAGCACTCGTTGAATGGTCCCTTGCTGATCGTTCATGTTGATAGTGTCGACAGGGATGCCGTGCACGATGGCGCCATATGTTGTCCGGATCACCTCTGCCCGTGGTCCGAGTCCTCGGGCCCAATCCGTGTGGATCTGTAGTTCCGTCGCCTCGTCCAGCGAGTTGGTGATGACCGTGATGTCGCCACTCTTAAGTTGATGGGCTGCGGCAACCTTAATGTCCCTAACCTTGGGTGTGTCCCGAAGGATGTTGTTGACCTTGTTTTTGAGCTGTGATGGCGACAGCTGACGGAGGCGCTGGGCTAGGGCGTGATCCAGGAGTTTGACAATGACTTCCCGCCCCTTGTAAGCTGTCAATGTCGATGGACTGCCGGACGAGAGCACCGTGTGAGGCGGTGTCACGTGACCAGGAGGGGGACCTGCCGCTGCTGCGACCTGCGCCCATGAGGCCACATGAGTGCCGGAGGGTGGTGTCGCCGTGTTGAGAGGGGCGGTGGCTGCTTTGATGACGGCTTTGATGGCTTCATGGTCCTTGAGTTGGGCGTCGCGCTGTTCCTTGAAGAGATCCTGGATTTGGGAGGCAAGACGCGTGTCTGGTTGTTCGTCGAGGTGGCGGGTGATCTTAGACAAGAGGCTCAGAGTGGAATCAATGATGGGGCCTATAGTGGTTGTGGGTATAGCAGTATGAGAATGTTTGACCGCATGCAGTTGAGCGCATGCCTCGTGGAGAAAAGTGACGTGCTCTTTCAAGTCGTGTGGTTCAGCGCCTAAACTCGGCCAACTGGTTCCCATAGCCATCGCCACGCGTTCTTTTGGACTTTGGACGCGTCAATGACCCTAGGGACCGATTGACATGAGCTACAGGTAGTTTAAAGCAATAAATTTACGCGTTTTTCAAAAATTTGTTCTGAGCTGGGGGAGGTGTTTTTTTTTTTTACCCCAAAGCGATTTAACTCTCGTGTTAAGTTTGATTCTCCTGCCTCCTCTGCCTTTTGGAACTTTCCTCACCAACTATGGCGAGTACGCTGGCGGAATCTAGTGCCTGCTCATCAATATCTAGCTCTCTCTGGGGCACTAACACAATCACGTTTGTTCCATCCGTACTCACTGCCTCGAAACAGTTGTCTGGCGTCAAAAGATGCATGTTTGTGTCGAACATTCGCAGTCCTTTTCGCATATTTTTCTTCGCCACTCGCACCACTTCTGATGGATCAGAACGATCTACCCATATAGACTGCACATTTCGCCAAATGTTGTTTTCTCTGATTTTGAAATGAATGCATACCTGTTCCTTGGGCATAATTTCTTGCTGCCCTCGATGCTCTAGCTCTTCCTTCTTCTTCTTCTCGTCCTCCTCCAGCTCTTGTCG